GGTTACACCTACTTGGGTTGTCAGTCCAGATTTGAGGTCATTATGCGACGATGTCGCATTGGCCATACAAGGTACACTCACAAATATTTGTTAAAAGGTGAAGATCCTCCGTTTTGTATCCTTTGTGATGAGAGTGTCACAGTCAAGCATCTCCTGCTTGACTGTGTTGAATTCTCCATCATAAGGGATAAATATTTCAGTATCAAAACAGTAAAAGATCTTTTTAATAAAGTTAATTATCATTTAATCATCGATTTTTTAAAAGAGATAGATTTGTTAAATGAATTTTGATATATGTTTTGTAAATAGATAACGTTTTATAATTGGTACTTCAGATTATCAACTTGGATTGTTAGTGGCTGTATCCTCAAAGGGGGTTGAAATAGCGTAACATTATTGTCCTCCTGAGAAGGTTCGTAAGTCCCAACTTTCAAAGTCAATTCAAACTTACCAGGATTTTTAAACGTAGTATATATATTAATTTTGGCTAGCATTTCTTACAATCGCCAACAGCTGAAGGGTTGGTGTAAATCCAACTAGGGTCCATCCAGGTATCAAAGATACTGTAAGTCCCAATGGTCCCTGGTATGGTGATCTAACTTCAGTTGTTAGCTATACAACTATAGCCTGTTTTTATATGATATTGTCCAAATAGTGCTAGTTTCCACGCTAGTTTTAATTCTAATTGTGATATTCTAGTTGTTTTACTGTCCTTCGTCGACAGGTTTTTATAGAGTACATATATTCCATTACAATGTCAAATATGTTCTCGTCACGATATGGCTGAAATATTGCCGATGTGACGTTACATATTAACTCACTCACTCACTCTAAATTATCTTTATATCGGTCAGTTAAAACTACTGTGTATTTTGAAAGTTATCTATCTAGTATATCAGTGAAAATCTATCTCTCTGCACTTTGTTTTCTCAGATGTTCTAATCACTGCTTCACTCCAGTTGTAGTAACAGAATTACATTTTATTCTACAGTACCCATTTTATAACGAATTAAGACAATCATTATAACCAAGAAATTATTGGCAATTTCCATCAGAACATAAGCTATATTTACCTTTAACATATGTCATGTATGTTAATGTATATAATAGATAATGTATGTACCATTGAATGTCTAGGAAAGTGTGTATTCCTTGCCATGAAAAAACGTAAATCGTTTGTGTCACCAACTCAACCATGACTATTATTATACCACCTGTCAACTGTGCGGCGCTCCATCAACATTTCTTTCTTTTGTACAATGCTCTGAATAATGGGCCTGTGGCCCCTCTACTGCAAAGTCATTCATTCACTGTAAAGCGATGGGAGATTGTGTAATGCTTCAGTATGACCTTCGATTACATAAAATCTTAATTTGAGAACGGAAATAGGCAAGCATGGCTATTCAAGGCAACAACGTCTCCAAGCAAATGGTCTATCCACTTTCCGTTGCTCTCCTTAAGATATCATGGATGCATGCCGACACCAAGTCTTGTGTATGGGCAATACTCATTCAAGTGTCTAGAGAGATTCACCCAACCATGAAATAGCAGTCAAACAGTATTTTTTGTATGTAAGAATCATGTATTTGTGATACAAATGTCTGTGATTTGTGTTGTCGCTCCTAATTTAAACACTGTACATCAACAATTATTGTAGTCAATAATTACTGCATAATACACATTCTATTGCGCTGTGTTGTTTCTCCAAATGCAATTGACAGAAAGTAGTACTGAGGTGATGCCATAGCTTCCAGTATAATCTTTACCAGTGTAACGAGGTTCAGTGACTTGCGCCATGAGTTCACACACATGAGCCATGAGGTCACACATTTGCAGAATGAGGTCTAAGCTTCGAGAAGCTTCCTCATTAGTGTAATGAGGGTCATAGGTTCCAGTATAGTCTGTGCCTCTACAGAATGAGGTCAGTACAAGGTCACATACACCTACATAATGAAGCCATAAAGGTGTTTGAACAATAGACCAGGTGCATCGTAAAAACATGGCTGTCTTGTTCTTGCTGTATCACCCGGTTTACAACACTTGTCTTCGGAATCGGGAGGTCACACTCGCTGACGTGTTTGATTCATGTCATCCCATTTGTGTACATCGATGTTCATGATATTAATTAGTGGATTGTCTAGTCCGAACTCGATATTTACATACCGCCGATATGTAGCTGAAATAATGCTGAATGCGGTATTAAACAGCTAACAAAACAAACTTCAGTCACTCTGCCATCTGATCGATAAGAAACACACATTCAGATTTTCTAACTGAATTCGTTTGAATATTCTTCGAATTCTGCATATTTCAATACAGAGGCGGAGCTACTATGATGAAAAAGCACGGTTTACACATGATTTTTGCTAAAAGGTTTGGGCAAGCTCTCAATACTACAAATATAAAGATTTGCAACCTTTTGAGCTTACACGAAAAAATTGGCTTGGTACGCGCCTGTCCACTACAACGCACAGGCGACGTTCTGCTGGGAGTTATATATCAATAATAATAGTTTTATAGCACAATATAAACGATATGGTGTTTGATTTAAGTATCTTGTATGTGATGAGAAATATAAGCATATTTCTGAATCAGTTATCCCTCATGATAAGAGCAATTTCTATGCAGCGTTCGATAGGTGTTATACATTGTTCACAAGACAACCGAGATTTGTACGCAATCGCGTAAAAACAGTAGAAAATATAGTACGAATCTGACGGCGGCATTACCATGGTAACTGTCTTTATACTCACTGGCAGCTAGGAATGCAAACTACATTTTCTTCATTATGAAGGAACGTCTTTTCAATTCTGGAAATCGAAACTGAACAATATGTCACAGTATAAAGAGGTGATTTCAGCATTGTAATGCGAATGTTAATACAGAAATAAGTTAGGACAACACTAAACTGTGAAATTAGTAACTAATTTCAATGAATTCGTTACACATTTTATTCAAACCCAGAGTTTACAGTCCCTATAAAATTAATGTGTGAAATTGTTACACTTGAATGTCTTGGACGAAGAACGTGATCCATTCTTAAATTCTTGCAAAATCTTAAACGTCTTTTTGAATTATTTAAAATCAACAATTCGGTACACTGATTCATTTTCAGAATATAGAACGTCAGTGCCCAGTCTTGAATACCTGCAGAAACAAATTCCGTTTGGTGTAATGCTAACAGCTGAGAAAACGTGAAACACGTTTTCTGATGACCTTATGAATGAACCTATAATTATTCTTTGCAAAATTTCAATATTTTCAATATTAAAATATAAACGATATCCAATGTAAGTAATAACATGATACATTGACATCAAGTCATTTTCCCAGCAACATAAAGCATCATTTCTTTTCTGAGGTGTTGTTGTTGTGGTCAATCAACTCAATACAAAATGTTTGGACATGTTTTGCTCTACTTTTACAAAGCATTACAAAATACATCTTCCAGTTCCTCAACACATTCTAGAAGACCATCTAAAGTATAAAATAAATATATGTCCATCTTCCTTGTTATACAAAACACAACCCTTTACGGTAATTTACGACATCATGTAATTACATGCTATTTAGTATTCAAATATGAATGTTTCTGTTTACACTTGTTAACAATCTGATAAAGTAAAGGTATTTCCTAAAATAAAAGTTTCATACACATTTCAAAGCTATGTACAAGATAGGAGAGCAATATTGTTTCCAATTGCAGAGTTTGTTATGTAAGATAAAGTCACGAACTAATTAACACTGGTGTATGAAATGATTTTTCTATATTGTTGCTCTATAGTAACAGGCTAACAAGTACCATATGCTGAGATCGTATCCCGCTAGAAACCGGATTGTTCATCAGCCTATAGACCAACAATGTTTAAATGTGATTTCAGTGTTACCAGTGTTGTAACAACCTCTAGTATACAGTACATTCACAGTGACCTCAAAGGAACCAACCCATCCGGAGGATGACCAGATGGCACATACCATAAACTATTTATAGCATCAAATATACTATTGCAACAGCATTTGTATTGTGCAAGGTTTTTTTCTGAAACTGATATGCTTATCAAAAACACTGAAGCTAAGTCTACACATATCACACATAAGCTCCCTGCTTTCTGCATGTCTGCTTCGAAAGACTGAGGTTGGGAAGCCATGTAAAGCTGTCTGCTATAATAAAACAATGTCACGCTGTTTGTGTCCCTACTTTAGAGCGGTTGCAGCACTATGGCCTCCCCACTCTCTGTGTAGTAAGTGAAGGTACAATCAGAAACACTGGTGGTATTTGAACCCGACAGTGGATCACTGCCTCCTGGAATATGCACTATGGTCGGATCATGATAGGAGTTTCCCTGTATAGATCCTGGTGTTTGACTGAATGAACATATGTTTATATGTGCAGCATCTGGCTGTGGGCTGTTAGGATTCGTGTTTTCAGGATGGAGTTGCCATGACGGCAGGGCAATACCTCTTTTGTACAAACCACTTTACATATCTTTGGAAAATATTTCTCCCTCTTTGCTCGGAACGAAAGATCCACGCAACTCAACTTGTGTGAGGTTTACAGGACAGTGCGATGATGGTTGTGCCGGTATAAGAAGACCATTGGCAGTATAGCTTCCGTGTGGAACTGAATCAAGGTTCTGTGTCAGGTGATGTTAATTTGCTGCCTCGGTTAAAGTCCTTGCAATGTCATCGTAATGACGGGCCTTTGCTTTCTGTAAAGCAGTTTCTTCATTATTATCCTTCTCATGGACATTAGCCCCGTTCTTCAACAGCACATTAACAACCTTTCGATGTCTCCGCCAAACTGCAACATGCAGAGGTGTGCAACCATCATCACGTTTCTCATCCACATTTGCCTTGTTCTTCAATAACACTTCTACAACCTCTGTATGTCCCTGCCAGGCTGCATCATGTAGAGGTGTGTTGCCATCATCACGTTTCTCATCCACATTTGCCTTGTTCTTCAATAACACTTCTACAACCTCTGTATGTCCCTGCCTGGCAGGCTGCATCATGTAGAGGTGTGTCCCCCATCATCACGTTTCTCATCCACATTTGCCTTGTTCTTCAATAACACTTCTACAACCTCTGTATGTCCCTGCCAGGCTGCATAATGTAGAGGTGTGCTGCCATCATCACGTTTCTCATCCACATTTGCCTTGTTCTTCAATAACACTTCTACAACCTCTGTATGTCCCTGCCACCTCTGTATGGCTGCATCATGTAGAGGTGTGCACCCATCATCGCGTTTCTCATCCACATTTGCCTTGTTCTTCAATAACACTTCTACAACCTCTGTATGTCCCTTCCAGGCTGCATCATGTAGACGTGTGCGCCCATCATCACTTTTCTCATCCACATTTGCCTTGTTCTTCAATAACACTTCTACAACCTCTGTATGTCCCTCAAAGGCTGCATCATGTAGAGGTGTGTCCCATCATCACACGTTTCTCATCCACATTTGCCTTGTTCTTCAATAACACTTCTACAACCTCTGTATGTCCCTGCCAGGCTGCATCATGTAGAGGTGTGCTGCCATCATCACGTTTCTCATCCACATTTGCCTTGTTCTTCAATAACACTTCTACAACCTCTGTATGTCCCTGCCAGGCTGCATCATGTAGAGGTGTGCTGCCATCATCGTTTTCTCATCCATATTTGCCTTGTTCTTCAATAACACTTCTACAACCTCTGTATGTCCTCTGAGGCTGCATCATGTAGAGGTGTGCTGCCATCATGTCGCTTTCCGTCCACATTTGCCTTGTTCTTCAATAACACTTCTACAACCTCTGTATGTCCCTGCCAGGCTGCATCATGTAGAGGTGTGCTGCCATCATGTCGTTTCTCATCCACATTTGCCTTGTTCTTCAATAACACTTCTACAACCTCTGTATGTCCCTGCCAGGCTGCATCATGTAGAGGTGTGCTGCCATCATCACGTTTCTCATCCACATTTGCCTTGTTCTTCAATAACACTTCTACAACCTCTGTATGTCCCTGCCAGGCTGCATCATGTAGAGGTGTGCGGCCATCATCGCGTTTCTCATCCACATTTGCCTTGTTCTTCAATAACACTTCTACAACCTCTGTATGTCCCTCAAAGGCTGCATCATGTAGAGGTGTGCTGCCATCATCACGTTTCTCATCCACATTTGCCTTGTTCTTCAATAACACCTCTCTACAACCTCTGTATGTCCTGACAGGCTGCATCATGTAGAGGTGTGCTGCCATCATCGCTTTTCTCCATCCACATTTGCCTTGTTCTTCAATAACACTTCTACAACCTCTGTATGTCCCTGCCAGGCTGCATCATGTAGAGGTGTGCTGCCATCATCGCGTTTCTCATCCACATTTGCCTTGTTCTTCAATAACACTTCTACAACCTCTGTATCTCCATGCCAGGCTGCATAATGTGTCCTGCCAGGTGTGCTGCCATCATCTCGTTTCTCATCCACATTTGCCTTGTTCTTCAATAACACTTCTACAACCTCTGTATGTCCCTGCCAGGCTGCATCATGTAGGGGTGTGCGACCATCATCGCTTTTCTCATCCACATTTGCCTTGTTCTTCAATAACACTTCTACAACCTCTGTATGTCCCTGCCAGGCTGCATCATGTAGAGGTGTGCTGCCATCAGGACGTTTCTCATCCACATTTGCCTTGTTCTTCAATAACACTTCTACAACCTCTGTATGTCCCATGCCAGGCTGCATCCATGTAAAGGGTGTGCTGCCATCATCGCGTTTCTCATCCACATTTGCCTTGTTCTTCAATAACACTTCTACAACCTCTGTATGTCCCTGCCAGGCTGCATCATGTAGAGGTGTGCAACCATCATCGCGTTTCTCATCCACATTTGCCTTGTTCTTCAATAACACCTCTACAACCTCTGTATGTCCCTGCCAGGCTGCATCATGTAGAGGTGTGCGGCCATCATCGCGTTTCTCATCCACATTTGCCTTGTTCTTCAATAACACTTCTACAACCTCTGTATGTCCCTGACAGGCTGCATCATGTAGAGGTGTGCTCCATCATCACGTTTCTCATCCACATTTGCCTTGTTCTTCAATAACACTTCTACAACCTCTGTATGTCCCTGCCAGGCTGCATCATGTAGAGGTGTGCTGCCATCATCGCGTTTCTCATCCACATTTGCCTTGTTCTTCAATAACACTTCTACAACCTCTGTGTGTCCCTGCCAGGCTGCATCATGTAGGGGTGTGTTGCCATCATCGCGTTTCTCATCCACATTTGCCTTGTTCTTCAATAACACCTCTACAACCTCTGTATGTCCCTGCCAGGCTGCATTATGTAGGGTGTGTTGCCATCATCGCTTTTCTCATCCACATTTGCCTTGTTCTTCAATAGCACTTCTACAACCTCTGTATGTCCCTGCCAGGCTGCATCATGTAGAGGTGTGCTGCCATCATCACGTTTCTCATCCACATTTGCCTTGTTCTTCAAAAACACTTCTACAATCTCTGTATGTCCATGCCAGGCTGCATCATGTAGAGGTGTGCTGCCATCGTCTCGTTTCTCATCCACATTTGCCTTGTTCTTCAATAACACTTCTACAACCTCTGTATGTCCCTGCCAGGCTGCATCATGTAGAGGTGTGTTGCCATCATCGCGTTTCTCATCCACATTTGCCTTGTTCTTCAATAACACTTCTACAATCTCTGTATGTCCCTGCCAGGCTGCATCATGTAGAGGTGTGCTGCCATCGTCACGTTTCTCATCCACATTTGCCTTGTTCTTCAATAACACTGTTACAATCTCTCTATGTCCCTGCCAAACTGCACCATGCAGAGGTGTGTTGCCATCATCACTTTTCTCACCCACATTTGCCTTGTTCTTCAATAACATTTCTACAACCTCTGTATGTCCCTGCCAGGCTGCATCATGTAGAGGTGTCTCGCCATCATCGCGTTTCTCATCCACATTTGCCTTGTTCTTCAATAACACTTCTACAACCTCTGTATGTCCCTGATAGGCTGATTCATGTAGAGGTGTGTTGCCATCATCGCGTTTCTCATCCACATTTGCCTTGTTCTTCAATAACACTTCTACAACCTCTGCATGTCCCTGCCAGGCTGCATACTGTAGAGGTGTGTTGCCATCATCACTTTTCTTATCCACATTTCCCTTCTTCTTCAATAACACTTTTACAATCGCTGTATGTCCCTGCCAGGCTGCATTATGTAGAGATGTGCGGCCATCGTCTCGTTTCTCATCCACATTTGCCTTGCTCTTCAATAACACTTCTACAACCTCTCTATGTCCCTGATAAGCTGCTCTATGTAGAGGTGTGCAGCCATCGTCACTTTTCTCATCCACATTTGCCTTGTTCTTCAATAACACTTCTACAACCTCTGTATGTCCCTGCCAGGCTGCATCATGTAGAGGTGTGCTGCCATCATCGCGTTTCGCATCCATATTTGCCTTGTTCTTCAATAACACTTCTACAACCTCTGTATGTCCCTGATAGGCTGCATCATGTAGAGGTGTGTTGCCATCATCGCGTTTCTCATCCACATTTGCCTTGTTCTTCAATAACACTTCTACAACCTCTGTATGTCCCTGCCAGGCTGCATCATGTAGAGGTGTGCGGCCATCGTCTCGTTTCTCATCCACATTTGCCTTGTTCTTCAATAACACTTCTACAACCTCTCTATGTCCCTGATAAGCTGCTCTATGTAGAGGTGTGCAGCCATCGTCACTTTTCTCATCCACATTTGCCTTGTTCTTCAATAACACTTCTACAACCTCTGTATGTCCCTGCCAGGCTGCATCATGTAGAGGTGTGTCGCCATCAGGACGTTTCTCATCCACATTTGCCTTGTTCTTCAATAACACTTCTACAACCTCTGTATGCCCCTGCCAGGCTGCATCATGTAGAGGTGTGCTGCCATCAGGACGTTTCTCGTCCACATTTGCCCTGTTCTTCAATAACACTTCTACAACCTCTGTATGCCCCTGAGAGGCTGCATCATGTAGAGGTGTGTTGCCATTATCACCTTTCTCATCCACATTTGCCTTGTTCTTCAATAACACTTCTACAACCTCTGTATGTCCCTGATAAGCTGCTCTATGTAGAGGTGTGTGGCCATCGTTATCTCTCTCAGTTGTTTTTCTCTTGGTTTGTAATAACAGTTTAACAACTTCTACATTCCCATATAAACATGCCAAATGAAGCCCAGTTTCACCTCTCATGTTTCGCTTTCCAATGTCCACTTGCTCCTGTAACAGGATACTTACAATCCCAACGTTTCCCGCTGCACATGCGTAATGTACAGGTGTTGATCCTCTTGGACCTATGATATTCATGTTAGAAAGTCCCATCTTTATAACTGTATCGATAATATTACTGCCCCTTTGGCACATAGATGCATAATGCACACATGTTGCCTTTCCTGATCTATTCCTTCTTATTGCCTTCGTTACATGCAAGAGTCTGGTAGCAACTGCAGACAATCCACTCATACAGGCAATGTCAAGCATGGAAATCCTGTCAAACTTCACCCCTAGATCATCTACAACTTCCAATTCCAGTTTGATGATAAGAGGTCTTGGAAGATTGGGCAATGTCATACACAACTTATTCAACTTACAATTACATTCGGAAAGCAAGAAGTTGTCTGAACTACTACCAAAGCAACTTCCAAACAAAGCTTGCTTTCTGCTATGTACACTAAATTGAACAGTGGACAATGCCTTCCTCAACAATTTCGAGTTGTCTGTAATGCTAGTCCAAAACAGAAAGGACTGTCCATGTACAGTGTCATTACTGGACAATAATTTCAATAGAGCAGAATTGTCCTTGTTCAGATTTTGCGCCAGATTCTCAAAGACCATATCGACAAATGTCTGTTCCTGAAAGAGAGAATGCATGCACACAAAAGCAAACTCTTTGCCCTGTATGGCTGCCACAAAACGTTGAGCTACAACAGTCATATCATCTTGCTTCAATTCAATTTGGAAGGGGATATCTACTTCTTCCACCTCAGTGGATTCAGCTCTTGAACTCACATAGCGAAATATAAACTCCAGGTCCATCTTTGCAACCAATTGTCTCAGATCGCTGGACAGTATGTCTCTTAGCCTTATTGCTACGTTTTGGTTTCTTATTCTGTATGATCCAGCCTCCTGACATAGACAGCATCCTGACAATTGTTTTAAATCATTTTGTATCATCTCCTTAGTGTATGTGTCTCCATTGATGTCGAAAACCTTGAGCGCCCAAGCAATGTATCGTTTATAGCTTTCTCTTTCCGCTCTAGTTCCTGTGTCAGAAACTGCCCATAGCAACCTCTTCTTCAGGTTATTCCCCGCCAAAGCAACAATTAACAAACACGCCATTAGCTGCTTCTGTGACAGGTGTTCATCGAGACATGAGTACTCATCTGCATCTGTAAATATACATTACTGTTGTATGAGAGGAGTGTATTGTATATATAGACATAACTATAATAGAATATAACATTGAATCGCTATCTACAATTTTATAGTGAGTCAGTGAGTTTTACGCCGCACTCAGCAATATTCCAGCTATATATGGCGGCAGTCTGTAAATAATCGTGTCTGGACCAGACAATCCAGTGATCAACAGCATGAACATCGATCTGCGCAAATGGGAAACGATGATGTGTCAACCAAGTCAGCGAGCCTGACAACAAGCATGGTTACTGAAGGCCAATATTCTAACCCGGACTTTCACAGGTCTACAATTTTATACCTACTGATGGTCGCAATAACATCACTATACCTACCTTTATCGGTGGCCATAGCACCGTCGGTTTCGACAAAAGTGTCATGATGTTGTACAACTGTATGAATGACTTGACCCTGTTTTGTTGCCTTTGTATAGCTTCTTTCCATTATATCTCCTTCCGTCAGAGTTTCCGAATGTTGGGTATTGTCTGTGATATCGCCGTGTCCATCCACTGCCAAGGTGTGAGTTCCTCCTCTCTGCATATCCTCCTTGGCATACTGTAGTATCCTCTGTAGTACATGCAGCCTGTACTTCTCTGCGTGGTAGTTCCTCATGATTCCTGGAGACGTCTCCGCCAAAAGGGCATCAGCAGCCTGATGATATGAAGGTTATAGAATGTAAAAGGTTATTTATATACGTAGTAATTAAACACATCCGTAGGTTTTCACGTCAACATTCTATAAGGATTTGATTAGATCACATGTGCTTTGTTGGCGAGATCTCAACATGAATGAACTGTGTGTCAAAGATGCATTTCCCCGAACTCTCCGACAAACCTGATATGAGACATCTGCTACCTTGTCAATAGTGTCTGGAGCAGTGACACTTTAGGTTGGTCAGCCATTAGGCAGTCATTTGAAAGAGTGCGCATACAGCCAATGTTGATATTCCAATTTCAACGGATGGTCATGAATTGACGATGGTTGATGGGAAATCGAGCCTCTGTGGCCTGACCGCAGCTATAGTACAAGTGATTCTGTTTTCCCACTGACGACCTTATTAGCGCTTGGCCTATATATGTGTTCTCACCCCAACCTACCATGAGGACGAAGATCCCACAATTGTGCCCATCAGCCTGGTCTATCACTAGGTACTGTTTCTTCATCCACGGTATGCCCATTTTCCCTGGTGTAGATTTCCAGTGATTTACAAATGACCTGAAGAATAAACGTGTATTTGTGGATGGTAACTTCTTCAGGTTTTGTGGATTGGAGATTTCATCATGATGCCTAACTCCAGTGTGTCACAATTGCGTCCTCCACATCTAAAGCTGGTTTAGAATTGACTACACCCACTATTCTGTCTGTCTACCTCAATGTCACTCAGTTATATCCTCCACATCTACAGCTGGTTTAAAATTGACTACACCCACTGTTCTGTCTACCTCCCTCAAGTGTGTCTCAATTGAGTCCTCCATATCTAAAGCTGGTTTAGAATTGACTACACCCACTGTTCTGTCTACCTCCCCCCAGTATTGTACAATTATGCCCTCCACATCTAAAGCTGGTTTAGATTTGACTACACCCACTGTTCTATCTACCAACCTCTAGTGTGTCTCAATTGAATCCTCCATATCTTAAGCTGGTTTAGAATTGACTACACCTACTGTTCTGTCTACCTCCCCCCAGTATTGTACAATTATGTCCTCCACATCTAAAGCTGGTTTAGAATTGACTACATCCACTGTTCTGACTACCTACCTCCAGTGTTGTACAATTATGTCCTCCACATCTAAAGCTGGTTTAGATTCGACTACATCCACTGTTCTGTCTACCTACCTCCAGTGTTGTACAATTATGTCCTCCACATCTAAATCTGGTTTAGAATTGACTACTCCCACTGTTCCATCCTTGACATTAGCCACCAGAAGCACCCAGTGTTGATTACGTGGCATGTTCACAGGCATTAAAATCCACGTGTATTTTTCCAAATGCTCCTGAAAGGTCACAGCAAATGCCATCGCAAATTAGCATTTCTTGATGGTAATGTGTTATAATGTGTTATAAAACATTGTACTTGTTTTACATGTTTTTCTGTTAAGGTTCAGAGGAAGTTCATAATGTGTGTGCTGTAACAATAATTAGTTGTCTGGAATGTTTTACACTCTGATATAAGAAATGGTTCTAGAAGACATATCATGTTTTGACATAGTGCAATACATTTAGTAGTTTATAACACAATGTAAGGGAGCAAACGCGCTTTTGATTTGATTAGCAAACCTTGTAAAGTTTATATTATAATTCAATTGTGAAACAGTCTGTTATTATTTTCGCACTAAAACATTTGCTTATATATTTTTAGCCCAACGTATTATTACAATTTTGAAATCAATGCATAACAATAATCTGAAACGTTTGCTTCACAGGAGATGGATACTGACTGATTATTTGAGTTGGTTTCGTGGACGTAATACTGGAGAGACTTTAAAAGAACTTCCTCTGGCAACCAATGTCACCTCATACAGTATTAAGAAGCAAGATGAGTGAGTGAGTGAGTTTAGTTTTACGCCACACTCAGCAATGTTCCAGCTATGTGGCTGCGGTCTGTAAATAATCGAGTCTGGATCAGACAATCCAGTGATCAACAGCATGATCATCGATCTGTGCAATGGGGAATCGATGACATATATCAACCAAGCCAACGAGCATGACCACCTGATCTCGTTAGTCGCCTCTTACGACAAGCATGGTTTACTGAAGGCACATTCTAACCCGGATCTTCACGGTATTAAGAAGCAAGATGAAGAGAACCATAGGCAACATCTGCTTCTGTACCCGACTTTGACACAAATGTGCAAACAAATAGCATTTTGTCTTTTGAACAAGAACTATACAAATACTACTCGTCTCGACTGTGACAATGCAGTTGGTACAATGTTGGTACAATGCAATGTTACTCAAGAAAAGGAAAAATGCAATGTGCAAAGTTTCATGATGTAATCTCACATTACTCACATCTTTCCCCCTTATCCTCTCTGTGTACCAGCCTGCCTCCCACAATATCACTGTCTCTGTAGGCAGCACCAAGCAGTGGAAGCTGACACGGGAACACCACTCTCTTTCCAGAAGGTGCAGGTAAGTGTCTATGATCTGTCCAGGTAAGAGTTGTGATTTATTAGAATATTTATTGCACAGTGTTTAGGGCCCAAGTGGCAACTTTGTAGCTGGATTCAAACAGGTTCAGCTGCACAACGCATGTCTTTCAAGAGGACAATGCGTTTCTTGTTACCAAAGACTGAAGATGTACTGATGATACAAGTTCTACTCGTTTGATCAGTTACATGACTCGCCCATATGCACTCAGCCTAGTGGAAGTGAACAGCGATATGATCATTCATTACCATCTGTGTGTGCAGACACCTGTTTGAAAAACAGTACGGTGCCTCTTATTGGGTTCTACCAGCTTCTATCATGCAAATAGCTCTTTGTCGTTCAACACGTTCCAGACGTCCTAATGTCATCACAAATACGGCATGGAAACCATAGTAGAGAGCTTAAGTGTTGGTCTATTTGAAGACTGGAATGTCAATATCACGAATGGCCCTATATCCACGTGCATGGAGTAATTACTTGGTTCACGTGCAACATTTTGGGTGTGCTGGCAATAGGTTTCGTTCCAGATCTGTCTATGGATGTCATCTTTCTGAGATTGACTTTCTGTTGACGACCTATCACAATATGTATTTTTAATATCCTCAATCATGTTTTTCATAAATAGAAAGTTATAGGTACAACATTCTCCATCTAACTGTGCTATCAAACACTTGTCTTAGATGGTGAACTTTGCATATAATTTGAACAATCCTAAGTATATCACCTAGTTTTCTTACTTCATCGGTCAGCCACTCGTTGGTTTCCAAGCCAGACAGAACATCTCCTCTGATGGTGTAGCAGCCAACTGTGTATGTACAGTCACGTGACAGAGTACAGCCCTGCACATGCTGTAGGTGTGATGGATGATCATCCAGTGTTTTCACAAATTCCTGTACTTCAGTCCTGGTATGACACGCTCCAACAAGCACTGCAGCTATGAGCTTTATATAGACTAACCGGTCTTGGTTGAAGCTCAGACCATCAGTATTCACAGAACATTTTACCCAGTTCCTTGCTTTTATTGTATCTTGAGGCCACTTTTTCTCAACCTCTACTATGAGTGTCCAGCACGAATTGCTTTTGTTGGTACAGTCCTTGTTCCAGAGCCTAGATAATGCCCGGATTCGTTGTACGACCTTTATCACATCCCGGTTCTTTTCTACTTTTTCTAGAAATCTGTACAGATAAGTATAGTCAGTGGTAGTGTCATAGCTTACATTCGTAATGTCATTTTCAGCTTGAGACTGTAAACGTGGTCTCTTAACCAAGGAGCCTGATGTTGAACCCAAATAGTCAATGTCATCCTCATCACCTGTGTTATCTATAGTCCTGCAGCGTTTCTGGTTTGTGTCATGATCATTCCCTGTTCCACGGACAGATGTCCGCGACACAGTTCGTATTCTGGGGTAAGCACCATTCAATAGAACACTTGAAACCGTATCTAAATTTCCTTTTTCCTCAAGTCTATTTGCTAATGAATTCCCTTGAAGCTCTAGAATGGCATCAGTGTTTCCCGAAACATCCGACTGCACAGTTTCATTTACTGACTCAACTTTCAAATATTTAGGGAAACCCTGGGGATGACGTGGTTGTCGACCTCGCCTCTTACGTTGAGGAGCAGCTTGTGCCTGCGTGTGGTCCCCGATGTACTGCACAAGGACGTGTTTCACAGGCTGGTCGAACAGATAGGATGCTTCCCTTACAAAAGCCCTTGTTGTCATCTTGTCCTTGGTGTAAGCCTTGTGGTACTGCTTCACTATGAGTGGACTGGAGGTAGGCTGAGTCCGGGTTCCATCACTCCTGAAGTGATATCTGTCGTCCTTCCAGATATCTGATATAGAATTGGACAACATAACATGAAAGACAGCAAGCATTGTTGCCATCCGTAAGATGGATAGTTCGTGTGATGCGTGTAAGTTGTAACTAAAGAGATGTGAACATTAGGAAAATGCAACCTCACTCCAGAATCAAACAACCTTAATCCAAACTCGACTTTGTTTGGCACAATCAACGGATCATTCCCACTTACCCAACTTGTTGGGGGGATAAAAAGAGATTAACAGTTACGGGTCAGTGATTTTGCAGGGTGAATTTGTTACCCCTGCTATGGATGTGACATAAGTTCACCCAGCACTCCAATCAGGGCCGATCAGAGCAACCTCATGACCAGCGGTGAACATATTTCACAAGATACACTATATGAACCATATTCATATCATTTGCTACAAATTGAATTTTAATTAAGTGAACTATGCCAACAACAAGTATTATAAAGTATGGAGATTTCCTTGTTTCTCCATTGCACTATGGCAAACTTTCACGTAAACACTTGTTTCATTCCCAATGGACACGAATGTCAGTACTTGGTCTACAGGGGCTGTATGTTCAGTAACAAGAGTGTGTGAGTGAGTTAATATTAAACGTCACATCGGCAATATTTCGGCCATATCGTGGGGAGAACATGTTTGATATTGAAATGGAATATGTGTATATTATATAACCGTGTCGTCAAAGGACAGTAAATCAACTAGAATATCACAATACAATTAAATCTAGTGTGAAAAGTTAAAACTCATAGCACTATTTGGACAATACAATATAACGACAGGCTACAGATTGTCAACAACTGAAGGTAGATCACCACACTAGGGACTCAGTATCAAGACCAGACGAAGGACTGTTTCTTCCACCCCGACATTAAGGCCACTGACTTTTTAAAGAAGGAACAAGGCTGGGTGGAGGCACGTGTTCTTCAGCTAAGAAACGGTGCCAGACCTCCACGTAGGAAGAGAAGATGAGTTGCACTGAACCATGCCTTGGAAATGTACAAGAGACTCAGTATCACATTTAACTGGTAAGTGTGAAAGGTGTGCTGTGAAATATTGATGTATAATATGTGATATGATATTGATGTTGTATTAAGTTGTATAAATGGATAACTTGTATATATATAATTTGTAATTAAAGACAAACATTGAATCAATGAATCAAACGTAGTAGCACTTTATCCCTTTTGGCCCCGGATACTATTTCCCAGGGAACCAAATAAGGGATTAAAGGGGATTATCACACCCCAGTGATTTTTTCTACTGAAACAATAGGAGTTGGGTAAGTGGGAAGACCCCAATCAACGACCAGAACGCGTTCACAGAACTCAGCATTACTTGAGGGTATTTCAATCTGGATCAAGCATTTTTATTTTGCATGGATGGTTGTTATAATGAATATCATGTTTTTGGTATTCGATTTCAAAACCCCTCACTTTCCTTTTTTGATAAACAAACTTAAATTTTTGTCTAGTTTAAGTTTCAACCCAACAATGGCTTTCCTATTACTTGACATCAATTAACCCCCTCCCCCCCATTTTTGTGCAATCGTTTATTTTGAAGGGACAGCGCCAGTGAAAAAGAACCAAAGTACACATTTCAAAAGAGGTCTAAATACTAATTGTACTGAATTAGCTTGTGATTTATATCCCTATTTCAAATAATAATAATGTCTCATTTTATGGAGCGAAGATACCTACTTCGAGTAATGCCCTAGATCCGTGCTACAGTGTCTGTAGTCATGAATACACAGAAACCAGGTCAGGGTGACCCCGATGGCATGTTGGTGTACATGAGTGTTGTGTTTGAGGATATTCATGATATCTGTTTAACAACCCTTTGATATCAAATGGTATAAGAAGTCATATCAGCTTGCTGTCGACTATTTAGGTTGTGTCTATGCATCGATCCTTACTTCATTTTAACACTGAATCTGAACAAAACTGCCTCACCTTCTCTCATACGCGAGGGTATCTTGTAGAGGTACACCTCCCCTCCCTGGGGTGTGGCGGGCGCTGTCTGGATGACCTTGCTCTCATCTGGAAACCTCAGAATCTTTACAATGTCCTCCACTTTAAGGGCTGATGTTCTCCCTGTAAGGTAAGGCTCGGGAGGATTGGACGCCATTTGTAAAGATATATATAGACATCGTAGGTAGTCATCCAGTGTATCCCATCCGTGACACATGCATAATAGCTTTTCTGTGCCAGGGCATCATGACCTGAATCTGTAGTTGAAAGTGAAATACGACGCATTCACCATGCTGAAATACACACAAAAAATAATATTCATGATGTAAATTCCTTCTTCCCGGCGTTACACTTGGGTTGTGTATCATCACGAGAGCTTGTTTTCTGAAGGCGATCTACTTTCCTGTTTGTGAACACATCGCCAGACCTTGCTGCAGTAATGAACTGACATAATATGTACCGAGTTATTGGGTTACATACATTCCCTGATGTGAAATTCTAAACTTTCTGAAGTTTCTCCACCGCCTCTGTTGTTATGAAATGTCTTTTGTTTGTTGTAAATCAGGGTAATTAGAATTCTCTTCAGTGTGAAAGGGTGTGCACACAAGGTGATAGCTCCAGTATAGGCATTGCTTATACATCCTATAAATGGAGTCTAGGTGTCTAGTCTTTGAGTCTGTACATCCTCATTTAATTTATTTGACAGCTGTTGTCTTAATTTTACGAAATCCACACACACAGCATATCCATATCTAAACTGCCATCTCTTTCCCACAAATGGAAACGTTATTAGCACAGGGATGTGTCTCATTCCCCAAATCCCATGTCCACAATCTGGTTGGTTTGGTTGGATTTGTAGTTTTAGGGCGACGTGGGCCAATAAGAGGCCTATTTGCGCCCAACACATTGACTTGATTTAATAAACAATCATACGTAATTTCATTGCCAAAAGGAATCGTTTAGCTAAGATAAAAGAAACGACAACACTATTAATTTGGATAGTTGTATACATATATGGAATAACCTCTGCTTCGTGTTACGGATTAAAAACCGTAAGTAATCACTTCCATTTCTGAAACATGAAATACTCATTCAATAAAAAAGCAGTAGGTTCAGATGACAGAGTGTTAAAATGATTTAAAACCACAGAACTAAATCTGTCTAAGCCATTCGAGAGCCTGTCTAGATTACATCATATTTTCCAGATGACGAGACAAAATCTAAAACTGCCCGTTGCACAGACCCATACATGATATTGGGGCCCAAAACTGTTTCCAATGAGAATACATCATCAACCTCAAGTACAGCACTTCTGAGATTTTGTCTTATGTTGTTATGCCCAGGGCATGTAATTAGATAATGTTCGATGTTTTCAGGCGTCTCCAAATTGCAATGGCCACATTTAGAAGAGACCGTCTTATCTATAATACTCCTGTAGGCATTTAGCCCACAGTGTCCAAGTCTTAGACGTGAAAGAATAACCTCATCACGCCTTTTACGACGACGAATTTTATGACCAGATTTTAGTGATGGTCTAAGTTTGTACATATGTCGGCCGGTAGTACCTGTATCCCACAACTGTTGCCAACTCCTTGTAACAGATTTCGATAAAACATTTTCATAATCTTTAGGGATTGGTTGATATTTAAATAAATCAACTTCAGGAAACTGTCACCCGGATTTGGCCAAATTATCTGCAATCTCATTCCCATGCATTCCAACATGTGCTGGGACCCACACAATGTCGCATGCAATGTACTTCATGTTTAAAGTGAGTGAGTGAGTTAATATTTAACGTCACATCGGCATTATTTCAGCCATATCGTGACGAGAACATTTGATATTGAAATAAAATATATGTATATTATAAAACACCTGCCGACGAAGGACAGTAAAACAACTAGAGTATCACAGATATACATGTAAAACTAGTAATTGAATCTAAAACATTTTAACTATAGGGGACAACACAATAAAAAAATGGGCTATAGATCGCCAACAACTGAAGGTAGATCACCATGCTAGGAGCCATGGGGACTTACATTACTTTTGCTACCTGCATGGATCCTAGCTGGATTTACACCATCCCTTCAGCCGCTGGCGATTGTAGGAAAATTTAGCCAACAGTTAAAATAACAAAAATACTACGTTTAAAATGTGATAATTTATATTTTACTTTGAAAGTTTTGGGACTTACGTACCCTCTCAGGAGGACAATAATTTTACGCTACGTCAACCCCCTTTGAGGATACAGCCACTAACAATCTCAGTGACTAATTTAAATTACCAATAATAAAATATTTATCTATTTACAAATCAGTTAACAAATCTAATTCTTTTAAAAATTCAACTATTAAATGATAATTAACATTATAAAAAAGATCCTTCAATGTTTTGACATTAAAATACTTATCCCTTGTGATGGAATATTCAACACAGTCAAGCAGGACATGCTTGACCGTGATTCTTTCATCACAAGGGATACAAAACGGAGGATCCTCACCTTTCAATAGGTACTCATGAGTATATCTTGTGTGCCCAATACGACATCGTCGTATGATGACCTCTTCAAATCTGGACTGACAACCTAAGTAGGTGTAACCGATAGTTGGTTTGATTGCATGTAATTTATTGATACCCACTTGGGCATCCCACTTCTTTTGCATCAGATCGCGGATGTATGTTCTAATGCTAGCCTTATAATCAGAGTATGGGATCAGAAGTGGTGTCACAGATTTGCTGAGTGCTGCCTTGGCAGCAAAATCAGCCATTATATTCCCAGAAATGCCAACGTGGCTGGGTAACCAACAGAGGACGATGTCGTATTGGCCAGTTGCAAGATCATTATATAATTCTATAATTTCTATTAAAAGTGGATGTTTACAAGAAATATTTTTAATGGCCTGAAGGCAAGAAAGAGAGTCTGAAAATATGATATATTGTTTATATTTAGGGTGTCTATTTATACATTTGAGAGCTGTTAGGATTGCGTTTGCTTCTGCTGTGAAAATTGAACTGTCATTGGGTAATCTGGAAGAGATTGTTTTGGACCCAATGACAGTGGCACAAGCAACCGCGCCACCATCCTTGGACCCATCTGTAAATAAGGATTTATATGTATTATATGTACTTTTTAATTGATTATATTCTTGTTTATATAGTAAGTCATTAGTTTCTGATTTTTTAAATTTAGTGAGTGTTAGGTCGACTTGTGGCCTAACCAATTGCCAAGGAAGAGAAGAAAGAAGACGGGAAGGAGCTATATTTTCCAGCTCAATGCCGGCAGCAGCAATAAATGGCTTAATTCTGAGCCCAAGAGGAGGAACAAGAGAAGATTTTTTGTTATACAAATCCTCATAAAGAGGATTAAAGACACAGTGAAATGCAGGATTAGACTCGTTTGAATATAATTTTGTAATATATTGCAATGATAATTTTATACGGCGTTGGTTAAGTGAAGGTTCGTCTCGACGTAGAGACTGTCAACAGGAGAAGTTCGAAAGGACCCAAGACAAAGTCTCAGGCCTTGGTGGTGGACAGAATCTAAGAGTTGTAGGTTGCTTTTGCAGGCCCCACCATATATGATGGGGCCATAATCAAGTTTGGAACGTACCAATGATCGATACAGATGTAAGAGGGTAGCTTGATCCCCTCCCCACTTAGAATTTGAAACGACTTTAATCAAGTCAAGTGCCTTCAGGCATTTAGTTTTTAGGGATTTAATATGCGGCAGAAATGTTAAATGAGAGTAAAAAATTAGACCCAAGAACTTGGCCTCCTTAACAACTCTGATGGGAGTGCCATTTAAAGATAGTTCTGGGTCTTTTTGAGGTTTGTATTTACGGCAGAAATGAATACAATTAGTTTTGGATTTAGAGAATTTAAATCCGTTTTCAAGACACCATTTATGTATTTTGTTTAAACACAACTGCAGTTGCCGTTCAATAGTATGCATATTTGTCCCACGACAAGAAATATTAAAATCATCCACAAATAATGATCCATCGATTGAATCAGTTTAAACCTTGGATAAACTGTTGATCTTTATACTAAACAGGGTGACAGACAAAATACTGCCTTGTGGGACACCCTGATCCTGATTATAATGATCAGACTGGGTTGAACCCACTCGGACTTGAAATTGTCTACCCTTTTAAAAAGTTGGATATAAATAGAGGCAAACGGCCTCGTAATCCAAAATCATGTAAATCTCTTAAAATGCCATATTTCCACGTTGTGTCATATGCCTTCTCAAGATAAAAAAAGATAGACGCAGCGTGTTGTATATTAATTAGAGCGTTTTTAACAAACGATTCCAAACGCACTAAGTGATCGACAGTACTTCTGTTTTTACGGAAACCACATTGTATATCTGTTATGAGGTTATTTGTTTCCAAGTACCAAACAAGTCGGTTATTGATCATTCGTTCCATGGTTTTGCAAACACAGCTAGTTAGTGAAATAGGTCGATAATTGGACGGATCTGTATGATCACGTCCAGGTTTAGGTATTGGTACTACTATTGCGTCACGCCATGAGGGAGGAAATTTACCTGATGTCCAAATTTCATCAAAAATATTTAAAAGAGTTTCTAGGCAGGGTTCTGGTAAGTGCTTCAGGAGTTCATAATGTATGTTATCAGCACCTGTAGCAGTATCATGAGCTTGCTCAAGAGCAGTATGAAGTTCATAAATAGAAAATGTTTCATTATAATCTTCCCCATTATCTGAATTGAAGTTAATAGTCTTCTTTTCTTGTTGTTTTTGATATTGTTGGAATTTGGACACATAATTAGAAGAGGAAGAGTGTTTAGCGAGAGTTTCACCAAGTTTATTCGCAATATCTGATTTATTGGTAAGTAATTGATCTCCATTTTTAAGGTGATGGACACTAGATTTAGTACCTTTACCTTTAATTTTCTGGACCATGTTCCATACTTTGGACATGGGAGTTCGAGAATTTATTTTTGATACATAATTTTGCCAAGATTGGCGTTTAGTCTGTTTAAAGACACGCCGCGCTTTAGCATTTAAATTTTTTAATTTATTCAAATTATGCACCATAGGGTGGCGACGGAAATAATGTTCTGCTTTTTTCCGTGCCTTCCGAGCTTGTTTGCACTCATCATTGAACCATGGTTTTCGAATGTGTGGAATTGCAGAGGACTTTGGAATACACTCAGTATTCAGTATTGGTAGTCAGTTCATCAGAAAAACATGTGATAGCATCATGAACATCAATGAAACATTCAGGTTTAAGTTTGTCAGCACACAACGTTTCATATAAAGGCCAGTTAGCTTTTTTTAAAAATTCAATCTTGAGGATGGAGGAGCATCAGATGGGGTTACACGTTTGAGTATAGTAGGAAAATGGTCACTTCCACAAAGGTCATCGTGGACTGACCATTCAAATTCATTTAGTAAGTTGGAGGTCAGTTATTGACAAATCAAGGCCTGAATATGTTCCTGTGCCAGGATTAAATA